GGACTTCAAGGGGTTAGTTTTGACTAAGAATTTCCCCAGTGACCCAGGACTTGCCTTTCTGAGGCACTGCTTATGCCGGAGGAATTAGTGCCCGTTTTAGAGCAGCCTGTCAGCACCAGCAGTAGGAACAGCTAGTGTGGACAGGCTCAGGTGTCTGGCGCATCAGGAAAACTCAGAGAAAGCAGCCTTGCTCTGTGGTCACTCTGCACCCAGGTGCTTATTACCCTGGTGCAGACTAAGCTCAAGAGTCTCCCTGTACCATGCACTCACGAGCAGCAAAGATACCTGCCTGGGAACCCTGGCAGAGGGTTGCTGGCAGAGTGCTCCCTGTCTGAGCCTCTCAGGTCTCCCAGAAGTACCACAGAGCCTCTCTAGTCTCCTGAGGCTCCGTGTGCAGGAGGAAATTAAGGAACCAAAGCATTATGTGGACACTGAGATGCTGGTTGGCATTTTGTCCTGTGAGGGGGAACCCAGTTGGTCTTTACATTTTAAATGATGTCAGGACACCTAGGATCTTAGATGGGCGTATTCATTTGGATGTTATGAATCAGAGTAAGTATCAATAAGCAGAGCTGTTAAGAAATCTCTCCTCACTCATGCACATCAGGAACATTTTCCTCTTCGGCATGTGTTCTTCAGTTCCCCAGCAGTACAAGCAAATTGGAAAGTTCAGCTGTCATTTGGGGAAGGTCATAGATCACACTAGCAGCCTGAGTAATCCAAGAGGTTTTAAGTATCATAGCATTTAGTTTAAAGTGAAATTTGCTCTGACAGGGGCTGGCAGACCAATAGGAAAAAGAAATATTTGTGCTTGGAGAAGTGCATGTGTAGAGACCACGAGTATAACTGATGGCTGGAAGTGATTTCAGTCTAAAAAAAACAAATCATTAAGAGAGTGCATAGGGGTAAAATACACAGTTCATATTTTAAAGGGTCTCAAAATGAACCAGTAACTGAGGTTAGCAGTACATAGTAATTAGCTGTGCTGTTCACTGTTTAACTCCATCAGCTCCAGGCGTGGTGCTAAACTGCACAAGAAAACAGTTGGGCTTTGGCAGCATGGTTAGCAAGCGCCGGTCTCTGTGCGCATGCGTGCGATTTAGTGAGACAAAACTGACTTCAGTAACTTGCAGATTAAGGCAACAGCATAACTCATTTATCCCAGGAGTTTTTGGTGTGTTGTGTAATCTGTATCTGTTACACAAGTACAGGGGTTGCAGGTGCTTCTGCTAGGTGGGTAGTTGAACAGGACTGACTAACGGGAGGAAAAATACCAATTTGGGGATGAGTATTGTTGCCTCGATGGCACAATTGTGTCCCTGCCTTTGGAAAGACAGGCCAATACTTGCTTTGCTGAGCACTGAGTTTCCCTGTAGATGCTGTGTAAATAAGGCCAATGGCATGTTTTTCCTAGGAGCAAGTTTTGAAGTTGATTGCTTGTATAAATCTAAGAACACATGGCACAGATCATGAGCTCAGGCCAGTCGTTATCCAACAAGTGTTTACAGGCAGAAAGTGACCATCTTTCCTGGCTCTTGCCTTCTGCTGTTCTTGGCAGAAGTGGCAAAGGATTCATCAGGACTTGGTTTTTAATCCCCTGTCTCCACCTCTGTAGGTTATGCTTGCAGAGTCATTGCCCTTGGCCTGCCAGCCTCATGAGGAAGCCAGATTTCAGTCTGGAGAGGCGTGTTTGGTGTTTTGTTGCCCTACCCCTCGGTTACCCCCGGGGTTCCATAGCCTTTCCTTCAGCTAAGAGGACAAGCTTTTTGCTACGGGCTGCCAGCGCAAATGATCAAATAGGCGAAGCTGGTATGCTTCAAGAGCACTAACATGTAAAAATGAAGGCAACTGTTTTTTTAAAGCATGGACAAGCCTTCATTTACTTAAGAGAAATATTTAGATAGGAGAGAGTGGTGATTTGATCAAGGTGTTTTAATGTGATTTTTCTGTTCCTTTCTTTTTATTTTTTTTTAACTGTCCAAAGCAGTTATCAGCTGATCCATCTCTTCCAGTTTTCTTCAGGACACTAACATATGTCTGAACCATTTGGAAATAACTGATACTTCTCAAAGTTTAAACTCTAGGGATCTTTACCTAATTACTTACACATTTATAAAAAAAATATATAAAAAAAAAATTATTTGCTGAGAATGTGATTGAAACCATATTTTCCCTGCTCTCGTTATCAATTTAAATACATTTTAAATTTCTTTGACTAAGGATTACTGAACTGGAAGTGTCTGGGACAGCTCTGCCCGCAGTGATAGAGACCCATTGCCACCTCGTGGCTCCGTGTCGTATTACACCTCACCCCCCCAAAACACCAGTGTTCCTTGACCAAAAGAAGTTCCTGAAACTCTGCACCCTCGAGAGAAGCTGCATTTCCCTGTAAAAGGAAAGTCCTGCTTCGGGACAGGTCTCTCAGGCTGCTGTATTTGCTGTGTCCCTCTCTGCCTCAGTAAAGCTGAGGATGGCTGCTCATGCCAAGGCACGGCCCCTACTAGCTTGACTCGCAGACAGTGACCTCCCTACGTACAGGACTCGCAGCCTACAGCACCTTCAGACTACTCACTTTCCTACAAAACTTTTCTAGAATGAAGTTTCCAGTAGTTAGCAGAAATACAGACAGCTTCTATTCCACCATACTAGTAATAAAAACAACTCATCCACAGATAATGTTGTTACAGTCACAGGAATGAGGAAAAAAAACCCCAAACCCAACAAAACCAAACAGAATTGGGCTTTCTGTTAAAATATCTTTTCATTATAAATCAACTGTAGATGCTTTAAGGATATCTGGAAGAAAACAATGGCA